CGGAGACGCTCGCGGCGCTCGTCGCGGCCGCGGAGGCGACGGCCGAGGCCTGCGACGTCCTGTCCGCTTTGGTCGCCGCCGTCGCCGACGACCGGTCCCTGCGGAGGGTCGTCGCCGGCGCCGTCGCGCCGCGGCGGACGGCGCTGCTCCTGCGGCCGGACGCGCCGCGGGGCGAGGTCGGCGCGGACCTGCTCGCGCGCGCGCGGCTTCTGAGGGCCGCGGCTCGGTGCGCGGGCGTGGCGGACGCGCTCGCCGCGCCGGACGCGCTCAACTTCTACGTCGACCGCTTCTTCGACCTGCCGGCGTGCACCATGCTCCACAACGCCGTCACGGCGGCGGTGCTCGCGGTCCTCGCCGACGAGCCGCGGCGCGCGGACGCCGCGGCGGTGCTCGACGCGCTCCTCTTCCGGACGGGCGAGTGCGCGCACTCGGACGACGCGTCGCGGGGCCTGCTGAAGCGCGCGGCCCACGCGATCCGCGTCGCCCGCGCGGACGGCCGCCACGTGACCCTGTCGCGCGACGCGAACCTCGTCGTCATCGCCGAGGCGGTCTGCGCGGCGCTCCGCCAGGACCCGGACGACGGAGGCGACCGCGAGCCGCTCATCCCGGACCTGCTCTTCCGGCGCCGGCCGGAGCTCGACGCCTGGCTCCACTTCGCCGCGAGCGTGCTCTCCCTCGAGACCGCCCGCAAGGTCGTCCTCGCCGAGCCGCCGAAGTCGTCCTTCCGCGACGTCCGCTAAAATCATTCTCGAGAGAGCTCGGACTTGAGCTCGGTCACTTGCTCGACTTACTCCGAGCGACTCGGAAGTGCGGGCCAACCAAGTGGCAAGTCAAGTGGCCAACCTGAGCGCTAGTCGCAGGCAACATATTGCCGTTGCGGGGAACGTGCCAAGAGGTATGCACAGACAACCTTAACCACTGTCATGCTGATCTGAGATGAGTGGTCTGTAAATGGGGTGAGGTAGTGGTGGTGGTGGTGGGGGTGGTACCCCTGGGGCCGCTGGAGACCACTCGAATCCACCGGAATTATGCTTGTTTTGGCTCTATCGACCAGTTTTGATCTCGAGCTTGAGCAAACTGGTGGTTTTGACGCTCGATCATAAATTTCGACCGTGTGGAGGTCATGGCCGAACAACCCTCCAGCTGCCGATCGGCCAGAACGGGTGGTTCACAGGCTTCGTTGACCCCATGTTGCAGCTGTTTTGACCACTCATTTTGAGCAAGTCGCGACTCAAGGGTAGTTGGTTAGTGGTG